GTGATGGGCAAGAAGACTGTCAAGATCGATCTGATGAAATCAACTGCCGTATGTCACTCTTAAAAATCAATTTGGCTTTTCAAATTTCTGATTCATACTAGTTGATACATTATTAATTGCTGTTTAAGTCTCATTGTGAATTTAGATTTACATACTTGTTTCTAAATTGACTAAATTACATATTGTTTTGTAAATAATTCTTACTTTGAAAATAGATAACATTAAATTATTACAGCATATGTGAATATAAATAAAAGAGCTATTACAGTTATGAATAAATTAAAAGAATGATTTGTTTACCATCCATAATCCACAATTGTTTTTTTTTCTATTGTTAGTTGAATAATGTGTGGGTGATTATCTTGAAATTGTCCTATTTTTTATTAATTATTAATCATAAGTTTGAAAGCTTAGACAAAAGATATAAAATAAGCATTACATACATGACAATAAAGGCAAATGGCCTAGTATTTATAGTTAGTATGTCATTTTAAATTTCTACCTACAAAAAGACAAACATTGAGAGATTTAAAGAACAAAAGTTAATGGCAACAAATTATTCTATTTAAAAAAGAAATGACTTTTGTATAGTTTAAGAATAGAACTTACAATAATTATTAACTCAAGGTTTGTTTCTGAAAGATTATGATTTATTTTAGCCCAAAATAAAAGAAGCTATAGATAGAGTGCTCAAATTTGAACATTGTAAAATATTTCTCTGTTGAGTAATTAATTATCAGGTGTAAGGATTTATTGAGCTCTCTATAAACATTAATCTATATCTCAGCCAGCCTGTGCCATAACTTCTATGAAAAAGAGTCAGGAGAGATATCTGTGGGGTATCCTGAATTCTACCGTGCAAACACTTCCTGCAAATGGACAATAGAGGGGCCAGTGGGATCAGTAATTGAAATTGATGTAAGCAAGGGAAATTAACATTGATTAAACTGAACATTTTCTTTCATTGTACCATCGATTGATTAAGAATTAGGCGATTAACTTTTTAGAATATTATGGATTATATTATTAAATTGTGCATTCTAATATTGGCATGCATCTCTCGATGATTTTATAATTCTTCTTATGTCAGTTTACAATTGTCAGCACCGAAGCAGGGGTTGATGAAATTGTGATTTTAGGCAGTGGAAAATCAGACAGCTACTCTGTAACTTTAGGTCGTTTGTCTGGAACAGTCAGCTACTCCACCTTTAGAAGTGGAAACAATTTTATGATTGTTAGATTTACATCAGATGGTGTTACACAGATGAGAGGATTTTCAGCAAACTGGACTGCAGGTACATGTGGTCACATTAAATCTCTATCCACTTTTTAAAAAGTTATTTTAAACAATCTGTAAATAATGTAACAGGCAAAAATTTTGATACTCATAATAAAATTCTTGACATAGTTCTTATTTTGCAAGCAGTGGCATGCCTAGGGGGATGGTTCACATATAACAATTTATAAATGATGTGCATGTGTGTTAAGGCGTGCACTTTTGGGAGTTCACCTCAGGCTGCATTTAGTCAAAGTATGTCACTAATTAGAAGTAACCCATTTGTTTAAAATGAAGAGTTTCTTTTTTTTCCAGTGCAATCTCAGTATTCTGATAATGGTGAAATGTTGAATTCAGACACATCTTTCAAGAATTTGAGTTCCTTTAGGTACCCTAATCCTTACCTTCCAAATCAAGAGAGCATCTATATTATTTCTACACAGCAGAGTAGACAAATTATTGTCATTGAGGTGAGTAATATTTTAAAGTATAGATGTATTATTTTATTTTTCTTTAAGTTATAATTTCTACCCAGGTACATTTTATCTTTCATTTAAAACTATATTGAATGGTAAGTGTCAAATATTTTTGGAATGAAGACATTATTGAGCTCATAATGTTTTGACCCAACCTTATTATTCATGTAATCATATATTTAAAATATAATTTTCCACTATGACTTGACTGAATCAAATATGACATTTTTTGTATGTTGAACATTTATTATTTTTGTCATTGGATACACATGCCAAGGCCTTCACTTGATTTAGCTCTAAAAGAATTTTCTTCTTATATTTATACCAATAAGTATATTTTATTAGACTAAGGCAAAATCAAAGTAATTATGTTTTAGGCATTACAGAAAATTTAATTACAATTTTTTTTTACCTTTCTCAGATTCTTGATCTAGATTTAGCTGAAGGAGATTACATAAACATTCGTAATGGAGTAGATGCCAAAAGCTCTCTTGTAGCACAGCTTAATTCCACTACATCAAAATCAAAACGGCACATCTTTTCTACAACTTCACACATGTATTTATTCTTCAAAACATCCCAGACAGTAAAGAAATCGAACAAGGGTTTCAGCTTCAAATACAAGACAGGTTTGTAATGTTGCTTTCAGAAAACATATAAACAAAGTTAGACTAATTGAGTGTAATCTTATAATACCAACAGAATTATCTTGAGAAACATAGCCTAACTATGATAGTAATATCATATTTTTTATTTTTTAATATAACCTATTGTTTCCTGAGCCAAGAGGTTGACAACCTGCGTCTCTGGAGTGGCATGTGGCTCATCAAAGGGGATACATACAGCTCTTTTTTTTTAACAATCTATAATTAATTGCAGTTCCCAAAACATTGTATTGGCAGATATCATTTCATTTATGAAATGAAAAAAAAATCATTTAATTTATGAAATGACTGGGTACAATGAGTTGAGCCTGTGTCCACCAGGTTTACCAGGGAGCGATATGTTATGTGCATGCACAAAATAAATGTTACACTCCCTATTCAATTTCTTCCAAAATATCTGTAGAAATTATTATTAGGGTTGGGTTAGGGCAGTGGTCGGCAAATCGCGAGCCGCATGCAGCTCTACGCGGCTCTTTAGAGACTTGAGTGCGGCTCAGCTAGTCGGCCACATTTTGGATTTTACTGCCAAAAACATTGTTCTTGAAAATAAATATGGTTTTAAAAAAATTTGTGATCGTCCTGCTGCTGATTTTTGGCTCTTTTGACTAATGAGGTTAGGATAGCAATAATTAGGGTAATGGCTAGAGATAGAATAATCCCAAACTATGCTTAGGCTCAAGCCAATTTGCGGAAGGAATCATTGATCTCTACCCATCACTTATCATGCTTAGGGCGCATCAAATCCTACATTTCACAAAAAGGGTTGTTGACCCCTGCCTTACCTCATCCCTCCCGCAGTTCTATTTTATTATTTTTTGTTATTGTAGGATGTTCTATCACATTAGAAGAGGACAGTGGAGAAATTATGTCACCTGGATATCCTTACATAAATTACACAGACTTCCAGAACTGCACATGGCAAATTAAAACTAAATTACCTAAATCAGTTACCTTGAAGTTTAATGACTTTCGTATTCATCCTTCAGATTTTTTGCAGGTAAGACGTGGGAAGTAACTTGAGAATTGAATTATTGATGGGATGCCATAATGATTTAAAAATTGCCCTAGTATTTTATATTTTGAAATAATTTAATTTATTTTTCTAGTCAGTTCCTTGCTGGAATTGTTGTCATTGAAACTGTTGTTGGTATGTGGAAAGAAGATTGACTCTAAAGGGACTCTCTTTTGAAATAGCATCTCTAAAACGTCACTAATTTGAATCGTTTATCTGAATCATTGTTTCCTCAGCAAAAGTGAGTTAACAGCTCTGCAGAGTATTTATATATATATATATATATATATATATATATATATATATATATATATATATATATATATATATACCTATATATATATAAAAAAGCAGGAAGGAATATATGTATTTTTATATTTGTCTGTGTTTTATAGGCCTATATATATATAAAACAGCTGGAAGGAGTATATGAATTGTTATAATTGCCTGTGTTTTAGCCCTTGCTTTGAAAAAGTGAACTGCCTCTTAAATTTTTTAACAATTTTTTTTTTTTTGCTTTAGATTTATGCTGGTTTAGATTATCAGAATCAAGCACTCCATATTGGCAAAGGTTTTTCATTGACAAAGCCAGCAGACATCACTGTGCTTGATGGTATATTTTTTCTGCAATTCCAGACCAGTGCTATCTTAAATGATAGAGGATTTTATGCTGTTTATTCTATAAGTGAGTTCTATCTTAAATTAATCTAATATTACAGGAAATTCTGGCATTTTAGTTTGAATGTTATTTTAAAAGAGTAGGATTGTACATTTGTATTAGTTTTATCAATCAAGTTTTTTTAATTTTAATTATAATTTAAATTTCTTATTAACTAAATGTGAGAACTATCATTGCTTTATGTTATTTATCATTCATTTTTTATCTTTAAAAGCTGAATATTAATCAGAATACCTTGTTATGAACACATTAAGTCCAATGCCTACATTAAATTATCTTTATCTTATTTTATTTACCATAGACAATAATTTAATATTTACAAGTTTTAAAAAAGCATGTGACGCTATACGGTTATTAAAAAAAATGTCTATTAATTTGATAAAACAACTGGAAACATAATGTATGTAACTTTTAAAAATACTAATTGTTAAAGGTGCATTTTTCCTGCAGACTGTCCGAGCCCTGTATTCAACCCCAACACAACTGCTGTGCCTTCATCAAGCAATTACACCCTGGGTACTTCCCTGAATGTGTCCTGCAGCTCAGGTTTTGTTTTTGACAGTGAGGAATTCTATGAAAATGGTACATCAGGCAGGCAAAGTAAGACACTGGTCACCATGGCGTGTGGACTAGGTGGGGTTTGGAATGTTCAGAGGACACCTAACTGCATAGGTAAGTTTGGGGATCTGACTGTAAGATTACATATTTCTCATATATATTTTGTTATATACAAAATGTATTTTAATTAAAATTGATAAAAATTTTTTAAAATATTAAGAATTTTTTGTTCAGCAATCATTTTCTTGAACATCATGTTTGAGCAAATTTGTATACATTACTACAAGCTGCTGGTTCAAAGAAAATAAATATGTTTTTTTTTGTTATCTATTTCAGCAAAATTATGTGGTGCTGCTCCACTTATCAGCTATGGATTTGTCGAGACAAGCACTGGGGTAGACTTTGGATCCAAGATAACCTATGCATGTTTCAATGGATACAAGCTATCAGGGAATGGAAGTGTGAGTTGCCTAGCTACTGGAAACTGGAGTACCATACCTTCATGTAATGGTATGTTTGGTCTTTTAAAAAATCTTTTCTCACAAAATTATGCTCAAATATGTACCATAAAATATTGGCATGGAACTTAGAGATAATAATATCAGGAAATCATGACTGCGTTAACTGTAATAGTCCCTTCTCAAAAATTAATGTGCTTGTGTTGCCTTTTTACAAACATAACCATGTATGCCTTTTTAGGACAAAGTTATATATTTATTTAAAGAAGATTTCTTTACATGGAATTATTTTCTGAAAGCAAAAAATAATGCTACATGTTTAATATTAACAAATAATTTATACTCAGAGAGAATTTTTTTTTTTTTTACCAGCACTCTCAAGTTGTCCACAACTTAATATCCAGTCAGCTAACGTCACCTGGAGCCTGGTTTTAAATAATGGTACATCCATAGGAAGCGTCTACAATTTTACTTGTCAACAAGGCTACAAGTTGATAGGCTCACCTACTTTGATTTGCCAGCAGAATGGCACATGGAGCGGCCAACTCCCTACCTGCCAAAGTATGGCCTACATTGAATTTTTAAATATTGCTAATGGGTGTCCTTAAAATTGCCATAGAGAATGTTGTTTTATTTATCTCTTCTGTCTTTTTATTGTATTATGATTAATTTTGAACATAACACTCAATGTCAACATTGCAGTGTTCTTGTACCTGTCAAACAACATGCTGTCAAAATACTGGGTTCGGCAGTCCAGACCCCATCAAGTATTTCTGACACTGTTGTTTAGGTTTAACTATAACACAACAGCACTCTGCTCTTAGAGTCTCCACATCAAATATTAGAAGCAGCAAAACTTCATTACATAATGCTGTTCATCTTTAGACTTGTTATTGGCAAGACATCAAAGTAATTTAGTATACATCAACCGTCTTGGAGACTTCCATCATCTTAGGAAATGACTCAACATGAACTAACTTCCTAACTTCCACTAGCCACACACACCTGGGCTACTGTACATCAATCAACTAGAACCAAATGCGAACTCATTGTGAACTCCTGAGTACCAAATCTCATCTCTAAATCAACTAACTCTCCTCTTGATCTCACCCCTTATATTCACACACTTGTTTATTAACCGTTTCCTGTCATCCAATCACAATTAGTCACAACTATACCCTTAATGCTCTCAACTATGGTAACAACAGTTACCTAAACAATAGTGATTATCGTACCGTTGACAACGCTCATGTGATATAATTATTAGCAGTGCTCTTATTCTTTTAGCTACCCACACTATCACTGTTGATAAGGGAAGCTACTATGTTTGCCATGAACCCATAATATCACTATTTATAAGGTAGCTTCTGGGTTTTACATGAACCCATAATATCACGGTTTATAAAGGAAGCTACTGTTATTGCTTGCTTGAATCTAAAATATAATGGGGTTTTTTTTATTCTCCAGGGCGATTATGTCCTGTGCCAACCATCAGTCAAGCCACACTGAAAACCAATGCAACTACTGTGTACCTTGGAGACAGTGTTACCCTAGAGTGTAACAGTGGCTACAGGATCAATGGATCTAACAGTTCCTCAATGATATTGACATGTCAGAGTGACCTGTCATTCGGTACCTTGCCAACATGTCAAGGTAATCATGATGGGGCTTTAACACATATGCACATTTTGTCAATTTAAAAAAAAATTGACTTCCCCTATTCAATAATTAACAAGGGGAGCTCATTTATAGTATAGTTTTCATGATCAAAAAGCACACTGACTTTCATTTCACATCGATGATCCCTGATCAAGAAATTATAGTTGTGTTTGTATTTTTCTACTTTCACTTCATAAAATGGATCATTGGAATAAATGCAACCAAAATTATTTTTTACATGTAGACCACAGTTTTTAAAAAATTATTTTGTATTTCATTCTCATTTAAGCTGCACTCTGCTTGTTTAAATTCTTAGAATTTTTTGTCTTTTAATTTTAATGATTTTTTGGGTCTCTCAACCCGATTTTCTTTATTTATTTGAAAAGTCCCTTTAGAGATATTTTTGGATGTGACACAACAAAGTTTAATGTTATTTTTTGTGTGTGCATTTGATTTATTTCAGCATACAACGTTTGTCTTGATGCACCATGCGGTGTTGACCAGATTTGTTCCCCTACAAGTGGTGGCCATGAATGTCTGTGTAAAAGTGGTTACAGAAAGCAAGAAAACATATGCCAAGGTAAGGCTTGAAGTATTTACTCTTGTCCATGTCACTCCTAGCATGGGTGTAAACCTTTTCTTTTATTGCCTACCTCTGCACTGATCCACTCTGTACAGCTCTGTCTGATTCAGATTTATATAGATCTGTTTAAAAAGTGTTTTTAAGTCTGGAGCCTGAAGGACATCTGTTTAACTACAAGCTGATGCTGAAATAAAATGCATTTTATTTTAGAATTATAACAATAAATTAGAGATTTAAAAAAAAAACCTGGATGTTCTAAGGCAATCATGTCTGCATGAAAAATAAATGAAAGCTACTACATTGAGTCAACACAGAATGGCATAATCCATGTAGCATCCCATTGATGAACAAATATTTAAAAAAAAATTCCATATGAAATTGTATCTTGGATGTTTTATTTTTCTTAGATATTGATGAATGCCAGGGAGGCACAGACAATTGTAGCCAAATGTGTAACAACTTGCCAGGGAGTTACAGCTGTGCCTGCCTGCCAGGATATTCACTTTACACATATAATGGTTTGAATAACTACACTATCCCCAATGGAGAGACTGGTCTGAGGGTTGGCGATGTCTACCACATCAACCACACATGTGTTTGTAAGTCTGCACCTTTTAGTAATTTTACCCAGCTCAACTTGAAAGTTAATGATAACACTTGCCTGGCTGAGTGCAGAAAAGTTCAATATAAAAAGGGATGTTTGTGCCAGATAAAAAGTTCAAAGTGTCCATGTATATATAATATACTACCCACACAATTTTAATGATAGTTTAAATTGAAATTAATTAGGTTTAAAGTTTAACACTTATGATCATTGAATATAAAATGTGCACAGCTAAAGCACTGACTGATGTTTTAATTTTTAAAAAATAATAATAATGTATATACTTGTTGAATTAAAAACCAATCTTATTAATCCTATTATTATTTAAATGTTTCTGCCACTGGTAGATTACTATGATTATGTGATAAACAAGTACAACTTTTGAATTAACTCCACATGAAAATGAAATGATGAAAGGAAATGTATCATTTATTTTATTTTTCTTCCAGTAAATGTCTGCCCTGATGTAACTTTTGTAGCCAACAGCTATGTCAACAATCCACAAACTACCTATCATGTCAATGATACCATATCTATTGGGTGTCACCTTGGTTTTATATCCAATGTCAGTAGAGCAACATGTTCTGTATCTGGGACTTGGGAGCCTAGCGTTCCTTCATGCACAGGTAATTTACACGCACAGGTAATTCAGATGCACGGGTACTTTATATGCAGAACTTATTAAGAAGTTCAGGTAATTCAAATGCACAAATACTCCACATGCACAGGTGATTTACACGCACAGGTAATTCAGATGCACGGGTACTTTATATGCAGAACTTATTAAGAAGTTCAGGTAATTCAAATGCACAAATACTCCACATGCACAGGCGATTTACATGCACAGTTTATCAACATCCATAGGCTAATTCATATGCACAGGTAATTTATATGCACAGCTTATTCAAAAGCACATGTACTTCAAAAAAATGTACAACAAAATTAAACCGAAATTTTGGGGGCAACTTTTGTTTGCAAATGAATAGGCTTATTTATTTTGAGAACCCTTCATTTTTAATCAGAACTAACACTAAAACTAATTTGTATTTGACCTCACCAGACAGCTAGAGACAATATAAAGCTATTTTTAAAAATAAGTTTTAAAACCAGTATAAAAAAAAATGATAAATGATATTGGTTTAGGTTCATTGACCAGTAACTATTTCAGGACAGCATAAAAGTTAAAAACACATATCGCTTTTTTCAGTGGCTCGGTGTCCGCCGGATAAACCCTTGTCTCTGTCCAACCCCCCTGACCAGGTGACACCAAGCTCTGATGTGGATTATGGCAGCAATGTGACGATCACCTGCAAGTACCAGGGACTCGTCACTGGCATTAGGACAAGGACCTGTGTCTATGACCCCAGTGTTCTCAGCTATCGCCTGCAAGGAGAGCGCTACGAGTGTAGAGGTTGGACAAATTTCTGAATCTATAATACTAAAGAATGTTTTGGTGTGTTATACCCAGTCCCCCCAGGCAGCTGATCTAACAACTAACTAATGTTTTGCTGTGTTATACCCAGTCCCCCAGGCAGCTGATCAAACAACTAAAGAATGTTTTGCTGTATTATACCCAGTCCCCCAGGCAGCTGACCTAACAACTAAAGAGTGTTGTGTTGTGTTATACCCAGTCCCCATGCCAGCTCATATATATCAACTTAAATATTCTATTACTATAGAAAGCAAAAAATTAGATTAGATAGGAAAAGTGGATCGATCTTGCACTGTTGTGGCAAGAGATAAAGGCTAGTTCAGTGATTTTCAAAACTTATTTTCCTTTCACTTTATGCAGTTTATTTTATTTTTACAATTTTATTTCTAAATGATTCTCTATTTTCCTACCATAGTTATATCAACCTTTTTTTTTCTTCAATAAAACAATTAATACTTAATGTGCAGCTGAAAGTAGAGAAGTAACATTTTATATAATTCCTATTAGTTTTTTTTGCTGTAAACAATATTTGGTCATTTTTTCTCCAGCTGTTTAGTAATTCATTAGTTCTAAAGAACTTGAAAACCTTTCAGAAAACTCATTTTTATTACTGGGTCTTGTTTTACACTCTTTGTTTACATTCTCATTTTGTAATGTTTCAGCCCCACCCACTGACTGCGGACCACCAGATGAATACATGCCTGTAGGGGGTGTGGCATTCTTCCTGCAAGGGAACTCAACACTGGTGGGAGGTTCCTTTAGGTTTGAGTGCATCTTCCCCTACTTTCTGAGAGGGGAACCTCTGGGCACCAACGTAACATGTCAGAAGAATGGATTATGGGACTTTGGCAAAATGGATTGCATATGTGAGCAAAATACCAGACTGACCTTGTGCCAATTTCCATTACAAAACATTAATGCATTTATCCTTGTATTATTATTATTTCAAATCCTTTTTACAAATGATCCCAAAGTAATATTTTTTGTTTAAGATAAGCTTTTAAAAAAATGTATTTCAGCTAGCTTGCCTCAATGACTAGAGCTGATGCCATGATGCCCAGGTTTCGTTAAAAGCACTGAATTTATTTGGGAAGATGTGCAAAGTAATTTTGATTATAAAATAGAGAGCTAGACAACTAGATTATATTGTTCGTCCGTCGAGGATCGACGAGGACCATCGAGTCGTCTGGTGACTGATGACTTGCGCGGGTGACTTTGTTTAAAGTGAGGAAGAGTAGCGCGGCGTCTACCTCACTCTCTCGTCCGAGCCCACTATATCCAGTAGCAGGACTGTACATCAAGACGACCAGGGATGGGTTCGGTTGCATTGTTTGACACTTACGGGACTCCAGCTCCGGGTTTTGAATTCAGAGTTTCCTTCTCTTAGATGAGTTGCGGACCAAGGATAACGAGTCTCATCCAGGGGTGATGTATTTGCTTCACTGGCCTTTGGCTGGACTTGAACACCAGACCACCAACTTGAGGTTTGCTCAGTTTAGACCATTCGGCCACCCATTCACCCAGACAACTAGATTATAGTATTATCATAATAGCCGCTAATAATACCATAACCCCGGGTGGATGGGACTCATTAGATGGCAACTCATCTAAGAGAAGGCAAACTCAGAAATCAAACCCCAGCATGGAGTCCTGCAGGTGGTTATGACATTGACCCAACGAAGTTGGTATTCGGACCCGGGTCCGAGAAGTTAGAGGTTGGGATTAAAATTTAAAAAAAAAATATTATTATTAGGTTGTAAGACTAAATTTGGTATCAATTGAAAGATAATTGAATGAACTATATGTTTGTAAACTTAATTCTTCAGTTTAACTAAAATAAACTACCACTAATGACATCCCAAAAGCATTGAGTCTAAAGGGACCCGGGTCCGAATAGCGGCGATGCGTTTCCGGTTCCATTTTGACTAAATGCTACTAAACAAAAAAATTAAGCCATAAGCCGGGAATATATACAACTCATTTCCAGCAGATTTTGTTGTTAAAGAAAATTAATGCTGTCACAGATATAATAATCTTGAAATTTAGAAGTCAAATATTTTTGTTTTCAACATTTTTGTTTTGTTTATCTGCTTACCTAATATCAAAACAATTTAACTTTTTGCTTTAAATTCTTTGTTAGGAAATTTGTGCTGAGGAGTCTTTTCTTCCTTCCTATATAACTTAATTTGTTTAAATATTTTTGCATTTTATTATGGGGCTTTCAAAGTTTTGTAGAATTGTCCCGCTTCAATCAGCTTCAAAAGAATATTGATTCCCAGTGTGCATATTTCTTAATAGGACTCTATTTGTCTGTGTAAAATTTTAACTTTTTGCTATACACAGTCTACCACCTAGAGCAATGTTTATATATGCATGAGATCCTTCCGTCTTCATGAGATGATGGAGCAGCTTATTGACACTTCATCAAAAGGCTTACAAGGCCCATTCTGGTATGCAGTCTTTGCTGCATCTCTAGCTAGAGAACCTTGACATCTGGTTAATTTCGGCCTTCTATAATGCTTGTTATGTTGCTAGGGCTTTGTTTCATGCATCTTCTGCCCTTATGACTGCCTCATACACTGCTGTTTGCCAGGTGGAAATGTGGAAAGTGATGATCTCCTATTCCCTTATTTCTATGTTGGCTTCCCTCATGCTCCTTTTGCAAACATCTGTAAAGCACAGCTGTAGCCATCCAATAAGTCTTGCCAATTTGTTCAACTCCCCATACAGCAGATTCTTTGGAATATAACCTTTCTCCATTCTCCTTTCAAGAATGGGGAATATGCTGTACAGTTTTGTACGTTCCAAAACCTAGAGCAATTTAATGTATCACCATTGGTGCATTTGCCACAGTTTGAGAACTGCCGGGATGAATTTGGAAGGAGCAAGTAGTTTAAAAAATGTAATTGTTGGCAAATTATCTATAGAGAATGAATTTATATTTTTAATATTTACTTTAGATGGAGTTTGTCCTGACCCCGGCAGCCCACCAGATGGAACTGCTTCACCGACTGGGTACCAGTACAAGAACACAACAAGTTACAGCTGTTCAAGGCCAGGCTTTGAACCAGTGCCAAACACAACACTTCTGTGTGAGCAATCAGAGGATGGATCATCTTTAGAGTGGAGCAGTGATCCTCCAGCATGTAAAGGTGACAATCTCATTTCCAATCTCCAATCTTCCTATATAATCTAACTTACAAGTTAAGCAATGTTCCTCCATCATGTTGTGGTATCTCATTTCCAATATTCCTAAACTCATAATAAATGAAACCAAAGTGGCTTTTTCTCTATTTTTTAAAGAAATTCTGGCAAAGTATATGGGTATACTTTTGTCTATTTAGCTTGGCAAGATAGATGTATAATTATGTCTATTCTGGCAAACGTGTTTTAATCAATTAAATACTATCATATAAACAATATTTTCATATTTCTCTGATGTGTAGACACTGCAAAGCCAACTTTCAAAAACTGCCCGTCGTCACAGATTCTGGTCAAACGCTATGCAGCCGCCCATTTCGAGATACCCGCAGCTGAAGATAATTCGGGCATGGTGTCAGAGTTCATCGTCGAACCCCCGTACTTCCTGCCTAATCAATCCATTTCTGAGAATCTAACTGTGACGTACACAGCTAAAGACCATGCTGGCCTGACATCAACTTGCACAGTCATTATACAGATTCAAGGTAAGAGATTTGTCAGTCTGGTGCAATGCAACTTTCATTGCTTTAGGTTTTAAGTGCAAAATCATAATTGCTGAAATAAACTACTAACCACAGATGTGGTGTCAGGCTGTTCAAACAAATATAAAATATGATAAAAGTTTTGATCAGATTATTATTAAAATATTAATATTATGCATTTAACAACTTTATTCTGATAAAGGGTTCGTGCCTTTCATCTGACTGGTAAATGGGTCCATGGAACAAATAAAAGTTAAGAATGCCTGTTTTAAACAAAGTAAAGATGTTATTGGTCTATCTATTATGTTTAGGCCTGAAAACTGGTGTAAAATGTTCTAAAAAAATCTTTTTAATATTCTGTTTTTTCAGACGACATACCCCCAGTAGTCCAGTGTCCTGATCCAGTGGTCCTCAATTCAAATATCACTTTTACCTTCACCAACAACTTGGTCAATGCCAGTGATAATGTCGGTGTGGTTGAAACAAAATTTTCACCTGTCAACATCACTGTGACTTCTATTGACAAAGGCCAGGCTTTCAATGTTACTGCTTTTGTTTTCGATGCCAATGGCAATAATGCCAGCTGCCAATTTCATGTTTATGTAACAGGTGAAAATAACCATATTGAAATTTTTAAGTCAGATTTTTTTTAAACTTCATGTCTATACATTTACCTTTAAGGATCTCATTATTCTTCAGTAATTAAGAAATATATTTATTATATTAAGAAACAAGATTACTCAAACCTCTAATGATTTCAATATTTTAAAAAATAACAAATGAGAAAATCAAATTTTTTTTTTCATTTTAAATGATATTCTTGCTTTTTAAAAGTTTGACAAGTAGATTCAAGTCAAATTTCTCATTTAGTTATTGTTATAAAGTCTTTTGGATTTTAAACTTTTCAGTCAGTTACAGATCCAGGCTTTGAATTAAAAAAGTATTTACAATTAAGTTTGTTTTTTTTAAACCTTATTGTATTTTAAAAAATATATATATATTTTTGTAATCAGTATCTCCACACGAGTTTTAGATACAATAAAAAAAAAAAGTAATTTAATTTATTTTAAAAAAAATGAATTTACATAATTGTTTTACTTTTTATTTACAGATGTGTGTAACAGTACTTTTAATTCCACATCTGGAGTACTGCCTTGTTCAGAGTGCAGGGGGAACACATACAGAGTTAACAGCACATACTGCCAGCCATGTCCAGACAATACATTAGCGCTGCCTCCAGGAGGTAGATCGAACCTCAATTGTTCCGGCACAGGTAACACTTTTATTTAAAAAAAACAATTTAAACTTTGAGTTATAGAATAACTGATCAGTCTTCCTCTGATTCTGTCACAGTGTTTGATGGGAGACTGGTGTTTTTATGAATGAGCTTGTGAGTCAGTGCTTTTGCAACTCTCCTTGTGTCAATATAAAACTAACAAGTCTGTCCCATTTTGTCTGTTTGGATTTGCTTACTAAATATTTTACATTTCCTCAAAGTTCCTCACAAAGCAATAAGAATTTCAGTTGGTGCAGAGGACTTTGAGGGGACCCCCCCCCCCTGCTGCCTGCAATTTATAATGTCTGTCTTAGTCCAGCTAGCATTCAACCACCAATCCACCTCTAGATTAAACTTGCTCACTATATCTTGAACTGTCTCTACTCATCAGACTGTTACTGTGCACGAGCCTGTCCCAAGGGTTACTACTCTGTCTCGGGCTATGGACCAGACTGTCAGCTGTGTCCAGCAGGATACACCACAAGTTCCATTGGGTCGGCTGAGTGCATGGAATGTCTTTCCAACCAAACCTCCACACCTGGGGTTGGAGACTGTGTCGATGCTGGTAGCCTGATTATTTGTGATTGTTATATTTTAAAATTTACTGGTCATTTTCTGTTCATTGATAAATAATAGTTTTATTGTTTTTATTAGTTCTTGAGTAATTGGGTTATTAAAAAACAATTGAATTTCTTCATTTAGTTGCAGAATATTATAGCACTTAAGTATAATTATTTGATTTTTTAAATAACTACTGATTTTTGCACTTGAGAAATACTTTAAATGTCTCACAATTAAATTGTTCTAGTTTACAAATTTTTATCATAGTCAGAATGTTTATACAAATGCTGAAAATGAATTGATGCGATGTAAACAAAACATGGGTCAATTTATTTGGATCAGTAAAAGAAATTATCTAATAATGAAAAAGCCCTGTAGAATTGTCATTTTATATATTAGAACATGATATAATCTCTCTGTTCACAGCCTCTATACTTTGTGGCTCTGACTCCAATCCATGTTTGAACAATGGGACATGCCATGTGGCAAATCACAATTACTTTTGTAATTGCTTGCCAGGTGAGAGCTATCAACAAAAACTCTTCTATGCCAAATGAAACTATTTTTAAAAAAAATGATAGCACTTTACTAGTGGATTATTTCTTAGTGCTAATCTTGTATTATATTTTGAGGACCTTCAGGATAAAAACTTTCAATGGGGATTTGAACTGATACGTGAGTTGAATGTAAGGCTGTCACCGGGTACCCAAGTATTACGTGTCGGCCTTGCACACCTTGTACTGTGTTCACATTATAGATGAGGCCATATATTCAATATAAAACCTTTAAAAATACTTATATTATTGAAAAAAAAAAAATAATGCAATTTATATTAGTTAACTACGCCATTTTAAATGAATGTAACTTACAAGTTGTAACATGCAATGCAGTTTTTGTAAATAAATTTAACAGGTGTTTTCAATATTTTGACAGTCATAGGTACATGTTTACAATATTTCTGAAACTTATTTTAAATATGACCAAAACAAGTTTCTTTCAATTCTCATTCAAGATGCAAAGTATAATAATTCATTTTGAAAGATTCTGAAAACTTTTGCATTATTTATAAGGATGGTTAAAATGTTGGGAAATCGGATATGAAACCATTTATCAGACTTCAAACAAGCCTTATGAAACCATTTTCAATCTACAAGAAAGGGGAGCATTCTGACCCTTCCAACTATCGTCCGATATCCCTCACCAGCGTGGTCTGCAAACTGTTGGAGCACATAATCGTAAGCACAGTCATGAAGCATCTTGAAAGCCAAAATATACTCAATGACTGTCAACATGGCTTCCGAGTCAATAGATCATGTGAGACCCAGCTTCTCGAATTTGTAGAAGACCTGATGACCAATCTGGAGAACCACAAGCAGACTGACGTGCTAGTAATGGACTTCGCAAAAGCATTTGACAGTGTGAATCATAGTTTGCTTCTACACAAACTCCAAAGATATGGGATTCAAGGCACCACTAAAACATGGATCTCTAGCTTCCTCAGCCACCGACTCCAAGCAGTAGTGGTGGGTGGTACAAGCTCCTCCTTTGTCGATGTAAAGTCAGGGGTCCCCCAGGGATCAGTCCTGGGCCCTTGTTTGTTCCTAGCATACATTAATGACCTACCCGAGAAACTGACATCACAGGCAAGACTGTTCGCAGATGACACAGCAGTGTATAGGACGATCGCCAACAGATCGGACCAGGACCAGCTACAACAGGATCTCAATCTGTTAGCTGAGTGGGAGATAAGCTGGGACATGGAATTTCACCCTGCCAAGTGCCAGACACTATCAGTCTCTAGAAGTTGTACTCCTCTACACTACCAATACAAACTGCACGGCCATATTCTTGAGCAAGTTTCCTCCGTAAAGTACCTGGGTGTTACCATTCAAAGAGAGGTCCGCTGGGACGAGCATATTAACAATGTATGTAACCAAGCAAACAAGACCCTAGGGTTCTTAAGGCGAAATCTAAAGATTGGCAACTCCTGTGTGAAAGAAAGAGCATATAAAGCCTTTATCCGTCCGATTTTAGATTATGCATCTTCAGTCTGGGACCCATTTACCCAGAAGAGCATTGACAGGTTGGAGGCGGTCCAGCGACGAGCAGCACGCTTTGTCCTAAACCGCTACAGGAATACCTCTAGTGTTGGCAGCATGCTAGAAACACTAGGCTGGTCACCATTGGAGAAACGACGACGACAATCCAGGCTCTCCATGATGTACAAGATAAATAATGGGCTGGTCCACTGTTCCAGTATTAAACAGAAACTCGTCCCTCTCCCCCATAGACAGCGACGAGGCCATGACAGGCAATTCAGGCTCATACCAGCAAGAAGCCAGTATAGGAGCTGCTCATTCCTGCCCAAGACAATCAGGGACTGGAACCATCTTTCAAAAGGAACAGTTGAGGCGACAACACTAGACACATTTGTGTCTATTGCCTCAAGCCTTCAAACCCCTAGTGCATGATTTCCTCATCAACACCAGTAACAGAAACATTGCAAATCCCATCTACATGCATAGGAGCCAAAATGATCAATAAATTGATCGTGGGCCCTTAAGATATAGAAGAAGAAGAAGAAGTTCTATTTATTGACCACATTGTTATTTATTTGATGAAACTTTGTTTAATTTGTAAGAGAAGAAGATATTTGAACAAACCAAATGAGATTTTTGTTAGACATTCAAATAAGACATATAAGACAATTTGTTAAATATTCTAACCCATATTATGAGACATTTGTTAGACATTTGAACAAACCATATGAGACATTTGTTAGACATTTGAACAAACCAAATTAGACTTTTTGCTCTTCATGCAAACTGAAATGTTCTCACCTCATTAACTTGCTACCTGCTTCTCTGTTAGGCTACACCGGAAGGAACTGTCAAGATACCATAAATCCTTGCATGTCAACACCTTGTTACCACGGAGCCACCTGTACGACCGGACCCTCTGGGAGCTACACCTGTACTTGTCCTATTGGTAAATTCTGCTTACTTCACTTCCTCACAAGGGATCCCGCTTCAGCTTACTTTGACCGTGATACTGAATAGCATGTCACGGGCACAACAATAATTGCATTGTTTCCCTTGTCCCTTGTGTTAGTAGTTTAGTCTCTGCTTTTTGTTTCTTCTCATCCAGTGTGAAGAATAATAAAATAATGTGTCTGTACTTTAAATAATATTCTCAATGCTTTATTTTAATTCAGGGCTGTTTGTGTGGAGGTGTCAGGATTTGTTCAATATGCCAATTTAAAAGAAAAAATAATGTAGAACTTGAATTAATATATAGTCTACTGCTTTTAATTTTGTTGAGCATAAAAATAATTTGTTTTTCCATGCCAGGCACAAGTGGAGATGACTGTGGAGAGAATATCAACGACTGCGCTTTGGACAGCTGCAGTGGTCATGGTACATGCATTGACGGCTTGGGTAACTTCTCTTGCCTGTGTATTGATGGCTTTAATGGGACCAGGTTTGGGAAATTTTGATGTCTCTTAAACCTCTTTGATTTCAAGGGAGATGATTGGCTAGTGAAAGGAAAACTGTGATGTTAATTAAAAGGAAAACACCATTCAAATAATCTGGCATTATCCATTTAAAATGTCTTAAGTTATTCTGGCCAAACATGATTATCTTACTGTTATTCAAACGTTGACAATTCAACAAAAACTTATTTAACTCTGGAATAACACATTTTAATGCTAGGGACCTCATACAA